GTCAATCAATGGAAGGGTAACTGATGTGATACAGCAATCTGTATACGGGGTAAAATTGGGAGTTCATAACCCACTTGAATCAAACTGTGAAATATGATATATTAAGAACTATGTAATGTTTTGAACGACCAACAATTAAAAAAAAAAGACATACCATGTTTAGGGATTAAAATACTAAATATTCTTAAAATGGCAATACCTCGCAAATTGATCTACAAATTCCAAACAAGGCCTATCCCAATCCCTGCTGGGTTCTTTACTAAAATTGGTCAGCTGATTCTAAAATTCATATGTGGAAATTTAGGGGATCCTGAATCACCAAAATGATCTTGCAAAACAATAAAGTTGGAAGATTCAAATTTCCTGATTTCAAAACTTACCACAAAGCTACAGGAATAAAGATAGAGCAGTTACTAGCAAAAACAGATAAATAAGTAAATCACAGTGGCAGCCCAGAAAAAATACCCTCACATTTAAGGTCAATTGCTTTGACAAGGATGTCAAGAAAACTCAATGGGGGAAAAGTCTTTTCAGTATACTGTGCTGAAACAACTTAATATCCACATGCAATGAGTAATTTAGAGCTCCTCTCACTTCATTTGCAAGAAAATTAACTCAAAATGGAGCAAAGATCCAAGTATTAAGAGCTAAAACTATAAAATTCTTAGAAGGAAACAGGTAAATCTTTGTGATCTTGGATTTAGAAATTTTTTTTAAATATGACACCAACCACAGGCAATAAAAAAAATAAACTGAACAGCATCAAAATTAAAAACTGATGTGCTTCAAAGGACATGATCAAGAAAGTTAAAAGACAGCCTACAAATTGAGAGAAAATTTGTGCAAATCATTTATCTGCAAGGGACTTGAATCTAGAATATATAATGAATTCCAACAATTCCACAATAAAGAACGCAATTAAAAATTAAAAATAAGTGTAGAATCTGATTAGACATTTCTCAAAAAAAAATAAATAAGTATACAAAGTCAATTATCCTTGAAAAGATCTTCAACATCCTTAACTATCAGAGGAAAAAAAAAAAAAAACTAGAGCGAGGCACTGGATTCAATTCTCAGCACTACACAAAAATAAAATAAAAGAAAGGTATTGTGTCCATCTACAACTAAAAAAAAACCTACAATGAGACACTACTTAATACCTACTACAATGACTATCACAAAAAGATGAAACAAGTGTTGTCAAGGACTTGAAGAAATGGAAAACCGCCTTCACTCCTTTGGGGAATAGAAACAGTTTGACAATTCCTCAAATGATTAAACTTTGGATTCCACATGATCCAGCAATTCCACTCATAGGAAATGAAAATATGTCCACATAAAAACTTATACACAATCATTCATAACAGCATACTCATCATAACCACAACAGGGAAATAACTCAGATGATGAACAATTGGTAAATGAATGAAAAATGTGATATTTCTACATGATAGAATATTATTTGGCAACAAAAAGAAATAAAGAACTGATACACTACCACTTGGATTAACCTTGAGAACCTTAAGTGAAAGAAGCCTATAAGAAAGCATCATATAATGTGATTACATATAATGTGATTCCATTTGCATGAAGTGTTCAGAATAGGCCAGTCTATAAAGATGGGAAATATAGTAGTGATTGCACGGGCTGGAGGGAGTGAGAGAAGTGTTGGAGAAAGTGATTGCCCATGAAAACAGAGGGGTTACTCTTTTTGGGTGGGGCAGATGATGAAACATTATAAAATCATGGCAATAGTTACACAATTCTGTGAATACAATGAAAATCATCAAGGTGTACACTTTAAATGGGTAAAATGTACATCAAGTGAATTACATCCATACTACTATTATAATAAATAAAAGAAAAATACAAAACTAAAGAGAAATTCACAATTTTACTCAAATGCCTCCATATGTAAACTTAATCAACAAATATCATAATAGTACCAAAAAATAATCTCATTGAAAATTTATAAATTTATCTTATAAAAAAGAAAATACAAATTTATAATTTTAAAATTTGTCAAGAGAAACTTTCTCCTTTTCATTTTTTCATAGTATCTTAATTTCTATTTAGAAAAGATATTTGGTGAGTATTTAAACAGCATACACAAAAACAAAGAAATGTACTAGAGAGCACCGCAGTTGAGTGCTTGCGTGTGGGATGCCCTGAGTTTAAACCTCAGCACTGCCAAAAAATAAAAGAGAAACATGCAAACACTAGGGCTCCAAATAAGTAAAATTTACTTACACACTTATTTCTTTCATTATTTCATAACTCCTTAAATTATTATATATTTATTATGCATCCTTCTCAGCTAGGATGCAAGGTACAATCTCCAAAATGCATGATTGTTTGGTCATTTAAATAAAATTTGCACCCACAAGCACAAATTATCGGCTATCTTTTAAATTTTGCATCAAAAGAAAATGTCAATCAGGCATATAAACTTTAAATTTGAATGTTTAGACACTTTCCAGAATTGTATTACCTGATCAATTCCCCTTCCTTTGCACTGAAGAATAATGACTTCAAGAAGTTTGGCTGCATGACATTCTGCATCTTCTCCTGCATCTCCACATAGTACCTACAGCAATTACAATTTACCTCAGTAGTGAGTGGTATTGCATGCAATTTAATCAAGACCACTTGAAGCAAATATTCTATACAAAATCAATCATAGGGATTATAGTTTTCCAAGTTTACTTATCAACCCAAAGAAGGGAAGGTCAAAATAAAGTCCATCTATCTTCTCTAGTACCACTCTAATTCCTTATAAGGCATAATAATTGACTCATTTGACTCTAAATTAATAAAGTAAGCTATTTGCATTAACTACCCAGATAAATAAAGATTCCCTTTTAAAGCAGCAAAGCAATGAAAAGAAAATAACTTTTCAAGCAAACTATTTTTCTGTCTCTTTTGCCCATTTTTTTCATAACTGTAATTTGATACTATACATTTTTTAATTTTCCCACCTGGAATTCATAATTAGAATATTTTCGTTGACTATTATAACTAATCATGTTACATATAGTAGGACATAGTACATGAATATAACAAAGTTACTAAACTGTTCCTCTATTGTCAATTCTGTATTTTTGCTATTATAAATGATTCTATAATAAACATGTTCATATGTAAAATATGGAATATAATTTTCTTATGATCCCTCGAAGAGAGGTTCCTAGAGTAGAACATGCTTATATTAGAAATTAAGACAAAAAATGAGTTCAAACACAAAACATAAGAAAATGAACTGACTTAACCAAAAAAAATAGAAAAAAATGAGAGCAGAAAATTAAAATACAAAGAGATTACAAAGAGAAACCAAAAGCAGATTCACTAAGAAAAAAATGACTAAGTAGACAACTTTTGCCAAATGTTTACAAAGCAAAAACTTAAATATATTAGAAATGTAAGACAAATATAAAAGAGAAATAAGAAATAAGAATATGGGGAACACTATTTCCATATTTGAAAACCTAAACAAATTGAATTATTTCCTAGAAAAATACAATTTTAAAAAACTGATTTGAGAAAGACAACAGAAGGAACATTCCTATTTAATTGCATTCCCTCCCAAGAGGTTACTAAAATAACAGTGAAGAGTTTTTAATAGTATATATTCAACAAAGAGAAAAGGAAAGATACACCAGTAAAAATTTTGGAAGCTGGAAAATAGTGAGCTAATTCACAAGCAGATGACGGCAGAGCTAAGAGTGAGGGCTATTTACATAAGTTTAAATCTCTCCCTCCAGGACAATGAACAAAATCTAGCTTCTAAAACAGCTCTGGAACATGTACAGCTCTGCCACTCATTACTTGTACTTTTAAAAGCCACCTAACCCCTGTGTCTTACTTTCCATCTATAAAATGAGGATAATAATAGTACCTACCTCAGGGATTTGTATGATATAAAACAAAAAAAAAAACATTTCCCAAAATTGCACTCACATGGAAACTTGTTTGCTTAATTGATTTCTGTTTTCTCAAGAGGAAACAAACAAAATACATCCTGTAATTTTAAAAATGGAGGCAAGGAATGGTAGCACACACCTGTAATCTCAGCAACTCAGGAGGCTGAGGCAGGAGGATGGCAAGTTTTAGGCCAGCCTCAACAACTTAGCGAAGTCCTGTCTCAAAAAAAATTTTTTAAGGAAGAGGGTGTATGTTGATGGGAGAGTGCCACTAGGGTCAATCTCCAGAACCACTAAACACGTAGAGAGGGCTCTGGAACTAGACTACCTGGGCTTCAAATCTGCCTCCAACACATAGTAGCTATGTGATTTAAAACAATTTACTAAACTCTAGCCACAGCAAAAGAAATTAAATTATGCCCTAGTTCTCTCATTAATAAAAATGTGACACCTTCTACATAATATTACAAAGATTAAAACAGTCAATACGTATAAAGTGCTCAGAAAATACCTGATATATTGAAAATTAGGTAAATATAATTTTATATTAAAACCAAGAATATGAAATATATTTTAACTACTTAGTAAGTATAAGGACATTATGAGTATCAGTTTTAGTGTACATGCTTTAACACAGAGCACCTGAGTTACTAATGGAACATACAGGATTGCTGTTTTCTACTTGTTTTCTTTCTCCCTTTCTGTCTCCATAATGGGAAAACTGAAGATGCCAGTGATTTTGATTTAACAAGATGGGCTATCACAGTGCTAAACTGAGGTTTTTAAATATCACAGCTTAGATGTGAAGTTTAATGACTTCCCAAAATCTCCCAGGCTTTTAATAATGAACTGGAACCTAAAAGAGACAGACTGATTTTCAGTTCACAGCTCTTACCAGATTCTGGTACACATCTCTTCCAGTGAGAATACACACTTGCTATTTTATTCCCTACTCCAGAATCAAACTTTTTGTTTTCAGGCTAGTTAAGCTTTCTAAAATCTGCCTGATGGCTTTAGGCAATATAGTTTTAAATTTATGTATATGCCAATAATTATCTAAATGAGAAGGAAAACATTATTTAGCCATCAAAGATTCCAAGACATAACCAACAGTGGCCTAAATCTAATCTATAAAGACAACACAGTAGACAATCATGTTTGTGCATAAAGATAAGAATAGCTATAAAAAAATAATAATAAAATAAAGAATAAATTAGGGCACAGGGGTTAGGGCACAGGGGTTATGGCTCAGTGGTAGAATACTTGGCTAGCACATGTGAGGCACTGGGTTCAATCCTCAACACCACATAAATAAACAAATAAAATAAAAAATTTTAAAAAAAGGATTGCCATTATAGGGATTATAAGTTATCTTGTCCTGAGCTAAATGATGCTGTTTTTCTAACTACTATAATTGTTTGGGGCTGGGTTTATAGCTAAGTGGTAGAGCTCTTGTCTAGCATACATGAGGTCCTAGATTCAATTCCAAGTACTGCTTAAAAAAAAAAAATTGTCTTATATTGTTCAAATTACCTATACCTAGTGATATCCAATATACACATTCAATCAAAAGAGAAAAGATCAATGACAGAATGGGAAATTGTGTGGCCAGTTTTCCTAGCTTTTCTTAGCACATTTCTTTATTAAGTAATGAGTTTATATTTTAGAAAGAAAAAAAGTAGAGAAGTACAGTTGGTCCTCCATAGGTTACCTATCCAGATTCAACCAAAATATCAAAAATACTTTTTAGAAGAACTACATCTGTATTGAACACATAGTCTTATCATATAACAATTATTTATACAATATTTACATTGTATCAGTTATTATAAGTAGAGATGACTTAAAGTATATAGAAAGTATGTGCATAGATCATATGCAAATACTATCCCCTATTACTCAATGGGCTTGAGCATTCGTGGAGTTTGGCATCCACGGGGATCATGAAATCAATTCTTCATTAATACTAAGGAACAGGGCTGGGGTTGTGGCCCTGTGGTAGAGCACTTGCCTAGCATATGGGAGGCATTGGGTTCAATCCTCAGCATCACATAAAGTTGTTCATCTACTGCTAAAAATATTTTTTTTTAAATTCTAAGGAACAACTATATTTATCTTTAAAATTATAATGTAGATATTAAAGTAGTAAACATTTTAAGCACAACATTTATCATGAAACTTTCAAATTACAACAATCCCAAATTCATTCTTAAAATGCAAATTGACAAATACATGTTGATAAAGGATATAAATATTCAAGTATTAGTAAGAAACACTGTGACAATTGATTAGGATATGCTTACCTTTCTACACATTGTAAAAAGTACTTCTAAATGCTTTGGATTTGATAGTAAAGTATTTGTATCTATTGTCACATAATTATGCAGGAGAGGCATCATGTCTAAGAAAAAATTCAAAATCCCAATGAGATTTGAGCAACAGGAGTAGAAAAAATTATTCCTAGTGAAACCACACTTCCGTAATGCCCAACATAATTCTTTTACCTAGCAACTACAAAATGCTAGAAATGAAGGTGGTCTGCCCTTTTTGTAAATGAGGAAAATGTGAATTTGAAAGATTAAGATGCTTACCATTTATTGTAGTGATTGTCCTGAATTTTTGCTTATTCACCTGAATACTTCCCTGCCCTCTCCCATTCCCCACCAGAATGCAAGCTTCAAAAGGGTTTCTGAAGTTCACTGCCATATTACTGAGTTTAGAAGAGCATTTGGAACATAGCTGACATTCAGAAAATATTTATTGAATTAACATAAGGACATGTGCTCTGGTTGCAAAGTAACTTAACACAACAAGAAACACAGCCTAACTTTTGATTATATATAAACACTGCTACAACAGCTCCACCCTATTCAGGACAGAAAAATAAGAACATTTTCTAATTAGTGCTAGAATCATGTGTGATATTTGAAGTGTCAAAGGAGTAAATATCCAGAACCAGAAAGTAAAAAGGCTATATGGTCAAAGCCATACCTGTAAAGTATTCAAAGCAATCCTGCTGGAAAACTTCATATAAAATACCTAGAAGTTGCCACATTTGAGGGGAAATTGTGTGACAGGTTAAACTATATGCCAGTGAAAGAATTTCTTCATAGAATTCTAGAAGGAAGAAAATCTCTCATTAGAATATCAGAAATAGCAAAAAATAAACGCAAAGACCACGCAGAGGAGCAACACACGTTCCTCCTATATCTAATGTGCTTACCAACATCCCTTTCTTAGCATCAGCACTTTCACCCTTCAAGACTTGTCCTCAACTTGAGGCAAGGCAAAAATTTGTTTTTACTAAACTTTCTTTTAATACTGGAAAAAATATAAGTTTTTCTATTTTATAACAAAATATAATTTATTTTTATAAAGTTATATTAGAATTCATGAGAGAAGGAATAGATTATCATACCTCTTTCACGTAGAGGATTTTAAACTTATAAATAATAATATTCTTTGAAGAGCTTAATTACGTAGGGATTAAAATATCTACCTATTTCACATTTATATTTTTAAAAGCAATTGTTGCTACCAGTATTTTTCAATCCATAAAACTTAAAGATTTGCACAGTATTCTTCAATTTACCTCAAAACAATTATACCCACGGGGCACAGTAGCACACACCTGTAATCCCAGTGGCTCGGGAGGCTGAGGCAGGAGGATCTTGAGTTCAAAGCCAGCCTCAGCAAAGGTGAGGTGCTAAGCAACTCAGTAAGACCCTGTCTCTAAATAAAACACAAGATAGCGCTGGGATATCACTCAGTGGTCGAGTGTCTGAATTCAATCCCCAGTACAAAAAAAAAAAAATTATACCCACTGTAAAGTAGAAGAGTCCAAAAGAAATGTTCTTACATTCACACATATTTAATACCATCACCCTCAATCAAAAGTAAATTATAGCTAAATATATAATCAGAAAAGACAAGCCTCACTGTAAGTTTCAAATAACTCCTACCATGTCACTGAGCCAAGAAGTCTAACTAGAAAGTTTTATTTTTGTCTCAGAAAGGTAACTAACACTTACCCTGAAAGCCTGAATAATATATTCTTTGTCTTACTTAAAAGAACATATTCAGAAGCTACTAATACAGACATTTGCCTTATTAAAAGTAAAATAAGATAGAAAGTATAAATTTTGGGAAATAATCTGCTATATAAGGTAATCACTTGAAAACCAACAAATTGTCTGAATAAAGGATTTCTGAAAGTTTCAACATGGCATAAAAATCAGTAAAATAGAATGGAAAACCTAGAAATAAATCCATGTATTCACACTCAATTCATTTTCTACAAAAAAAAAGCACAAGAAAACATATAGGGAAAAGACAGTCTCTTCAATAAATGGTGCTGATAAAACTGGATATCCACATACTGAAAAATGAAATTAGATCTTCATCTCATACCATATACAAAAATCAACTCAAGATGAATTAAACACTTGAACATTAAGACCTGAAATTATAACACTACTAGAAGAAAACAGAAGGAAAAGTTCTGTGCCATTACTCTGGGGAGCAATTTTTTATGACCCCAAAAGTACAGAAAACAAAAGCAAAAAAATAGATAAACAGAATTATGTCAAACTAAAGTTTTTCTGCATAGCAAAGGAAACAATAGAGTGAGGAGACAATCTACAGAATGCAAGACAATATTTATACACCATACATCTGGGGGAAAAAATCATATGTCTAATAAAGAATTACCATCCAAAATACATTAGGAACTTAATTCAACAGCAAGAAAATACAAAATATAATTTTAAAATTGGAATCAGGCAATCTGGCATGTTCCCATAGTCCAAGCTACTCAGGAGGCCTAGGCAAGATGATTGCTTCAGTCCAAGCCACAGTTAGACCTCATCTCAAAAAATAAAAAGACAAATAGATATTTTCAAAAGAAAACATGTAAATGGCCCATAAGTATATGAAAAAAATGCTCAGTATAACTAATCATCAAGGAAATGCATATTAAAGCAGATTAAAACTCACATCTGTTAGAACGTTTACTATCAAAAAGATAAATGCTGGAAAGGATGTTGAGCAAAGGGAATCCTCAAACACTGTTAGTCATGCAGCCACATGGACAACAATGTAGAGGTTCCTCAAAAAAGAAAAACCAGAACTACCATATGATTCAGCAAAACCACTAATGGATACATATCCAAAGGAACTGAAATCAGGATCTTGAAGAGATGTAATAGTTAGAAATGAAAAAGCTAAGTGCCCATTGACAGATGAATAAATAAAGAAAATGTGGTACATATCCAGGATAGAATACTATCTAGTATTTTGGAATAGTATTCTATTACTATTATTATTATTATTATTATTATTATTATTACTACTACTACTACTACTACTATATTACTATTAAAAATATTTAGAGTTAATTCTTTATACTGCACATTCTACGCATTTTGACAAATGTATATAATGACATATGTCTATCAATACTGTATCATACAGAAGAGTTTCAATGTCCTAAACATCCCATACTCCCACATATTCATCCTTCCCTCTCTCCCATTCCTAGTCCCTAGCAAGTATTGATCATTTTACTGAAACACATACTTTTTAAAAATTATCTTTTATGTATTTTTTAATTGGCCAAATTAAAAATGTGCATTTTATAGTGTACAGCAAAATGTTTTGAAATATACATGTTTTCTGGAATAGTTAAATCATCTAATTAAGGTATCCATTACTTCACATACTTATTTTTTGTTGTGAAAACACAAAAACGACTCTCTTAGCAATTTCCAAATATATAATACATTAACTATAGTCAACATTTTGACCAACATCTCCACATCTCAATCCACTCCCACCCTTGGAAACCACCATTCTAGTGTCTCTTTCCAAGAGTTCAACGTTTTTAGATTTCACATGAGATCTCACAGTACTTGTCTGTTTCTGACTTATTTCTATCAACAGCCATCCTTGAATTGTATGTGAAGACCTTTTCAGCATTGCAGCCAGGGAGTGGGAAAGTCTGGTAATGGGAACTTCCCGTGGCAATCCCACAGAGTAAGATCACCCAAATACATGTGAACTCCCTCTCAGCTCTGCTCAAAAAGGTCTCATACAGTACCGGAGATGGGGTGACCTGCTGTTGTCACACAGCCTCTCAGAGATGGGTGAAACCTGCCAAGATGCCAACCTGTTGACTGCAAGACATCAAAAGCAAGATTCCACCCTCAAAACTTTATCACTGACTTTGATATATACCCCCTTAGATAAACCACAGGAACCATTTTCTAATTGTCCAGCTCCAGCTCCTGTGAGGGCTGAACCTATCAGGTCCTCCATCCTTCAAAACTATAATTCTATCTCTGTATTTTGTTCTTTACTAATTATTTCAGACTTTAAGTTCTTTAGAGGCTTATCCCTCTGAGCAGAAAAGGGTTCCCTGGTGAGGAGCTGGCACCCACGATATATTTCACTTTATATAATTTCCTTTAGGTTTGTCCACATTCTTGCAAATGACCAAAGTTCTTTCTTTTTAAAGGCTGTGTAAATACTGTGTGTGTATGTACATGTATCATATTTTATTCAAATAATCTCAAATACTATAAGCATTTGAGTGAGATCAATACTTATTGAATAAATATTCTCAAATACTATTAATATATATTAGACATGCATGCTCAATTTTTTACTAATGAGTGAACAATAAAAAGTTTGGAGACAACTACTCTTAAGCCATAACACACTTTTCTTACATCTTTCCACATCAGTACTAAATAACTTGTGTCTTTCTCATGCCCACATGTCTTGGGATTGGCATCTTCAAAATGCTTGAAACTACAGAAAGTAGCCTCCTCTATCAAAAATACCCATCAGCTCATAATATCTAGCATCAGTTACTGATTCTACTCACAAGTCAGGCACTTTTAACAGAAAACAGGACAATTCACACTGCTAGTAATAAATATTTCTGTTTTTAAACATTTTTCAATCCCAGATTAAAGAATCTCACCAAAACCTCACCTCAGTTCATTTCTGAAAATGTAAAATACAACATTCTCTGTCCTTTATACTTTTCAAAGCCAAAAATTCTCACTGGATATATTATATAAGTTACTCCTTCTCTAAATTGTCCATCTGTCAAATTGAAGGGCTAAAAATGTATTTTAAGTTCATCAAATTGAAAAAATAAAGTCTCGATTATCTTTCTTTGGGGGGGAGGGGTTTTGAACCTAGGGCCTTGCACATGCTAGGCAAGTGCTCTACCATTAAGTTATATCCTCAATCTTCAATTAACCTTTTTTGGGAGTGGGGTGATGGTACAGGGAATTGATCCCAGGGACACTTAACAGCTAAGCTATATCCCCGGACTATTTTTATATTTAATTAGAGACAGGATTTCACTGAGTTGCTAAGGGCATCACTAAGTTGCCGAGGCAGGCTTTGAACTYGCGATCCTCCTGCATCAGCCTCCTGAGCCGCTGGGATTACAGGCATGCACCACCACTACCGATTTTTATTTAACTTCTGAACTTACCAATTACATGCTTCTGTAAAACAAGGTCAATGATCCGTAGACAGATATTCTCTAATTGCTGTGTGATCTGAAAACAAATTTTAAATATTTACTTTAAAATTCATCATGATAACCTTTAAGTTAATATATAAATTAATATTATCCCAATAAAAATACCTATAAGACATTTCTGAGGGGAACTTGATAAATTAATTCTAATTTTCATGTGAAAAATTAACCATGCAAAAATGCAAGGAAGGGGCTGGGGTTGTGGCTCGCAGTAGAGTGCTCACCTAGCACATGCAAGGCCCTGGGTTCGATCCTCAGCAGCACATATAAATAAAATAAAGGTATTGTGTCCAACTAAAAAATAAATTTTTTAAAAAATGCAAGGAAATTCCAAAAAGTAGACCAAAGATGGGGATAAGAATAAATCCATAGTAAATCTGTGAATTAGATTAGTTCCTTACCTGTTTTATACCAAAATAAATTTATAATGGATAAAGATTTTAGATGCAAAGAATTAAAACAAACAAACAAAAATACTAGAATAAAAAAAAAAAAAGAATTCTCGTGTAATCCTGAAGTGGGAAAGTGAATCAAAGCCCAGAAATTTAAAAAAAAAAAAAAAAAAAAAAAAAAAAAAAAAAAAAAGCTGAGCCATCTGACTGCAAAAATTAAAATTTTCTGCATGGAGACAAAATAAAAATTTGAGTGAAATACTATCAAATAGTATTACAAAAATCAAATTCCCATTATATGAAATCAACAGAAAAACAGGCAAAGGTTATGAAAAATAAATCTAAACAAGCCTTAAGCTTATAAAAAAAAGATGTTTACTGTATGAGAAAATTATAAATTCAAAGTGCAATATTAATACTTTTGACCTATCAGACTGCCAATGATCAAAAAGTATGAGACTGGAAAGAAAGACATTGTGGTACATTGATTCGTGGACTATAAATGGGCACACTCTATTTAGGACAAATTAGCAACATCCTTAGAACTAACTCATATACATACCATTTATCCCAACAATTCCACGTCAAGAAATTACCCTCCAGACATTGTTATGTGCACAAAATGACATGCAAAAAGCATTCATTGCAACAATATTTGTGATTTCTCACCAATGTCCATTTAAACAAGGGACATCTAAATTATTTCTATTAACTAGCAACCTGTTATATAAATTTGACACATCATACAAGAGAATAGTATGCAACCATTAAAAATGTGTAAGTTTACTGACTGGTATAGAAGGGTCACCAAGATGAATTAAATAGAAAATGGTAGCTAAAAATTGTGCATAGTATGTTACTGTGTTCATAAAAGAAAAATATGTACACTTTTTGTTTGTATGACAGTAGAAAAACCTCTGGAAGAATACCAAAAAAACCTGAAAAAACTTTGCTATCTTCTGCAAGGGATAAAATTAAGACAACTAGAGAACTGAGTAAGAAAGTAAAATTTCACTGAGTAATCTTTTCAGACCTTTTAAATCATTCAACATGCTTGTTTTAAACTTTTAAATAAGTTACAATTAAAATCCATCATGTTAGATTTTTACTGTAAATATCCAATTTCATCTTTTAAGCACTTTCTAATACTCCATTATTTTCTTCATTGTTGTTTTTGAAGTATTGGGGATTGAACACAGATTAAACTCCTGAACCCAGGAATGCTCTAGCACTGCCCTATATTCCCAGTTTTTTTGTTTGTTTTTGTTTTGAGATAGTCTAAATTAGCGAGGCTGGACTTCTAATCCTCCTGCCTCAACTTCCCAAGTAGCTGGGATTATAGATCCATACCACTACCTCCAGCTGTGTTTTTATTTTTAATTTTCACATAATAATGGTGCATTTTTGTGGGAGACAGTTTAGTAACCCGATATATGTTAAACTATTATCTAAAGTTCAAATGATCCAAAATGTCCCAGTTTAAAAATTGCCAATATACTTAAAACCATTAAATAAAAATGTACATGCTTAAGCACCTATTTCAGATTTCCAATTATGCTCTTCATGCATTAAGTATTTGTACAGATATGGGTTTTTTCCCTTTTAAGGAAATACTGCTTTCAAAGTTTGCTTTTAACAAGGCAAAGTTCAAAATTAAAGGGCAAGTGACCTAGAGACCAAGATTTCAGTTGGTGTTTTGTCTCTATGACCTCAGTAAAGCCAGTTAGCTAAATCATTAAGGCTTTGCTCTATAGTATAGGTAAGGGAGTTAGATTTGTGTTTCTCAGTTTTAACCCACTCCTCCTTTGAAAACCAGAGTTCACAGCTCCTTTAACATTATTTGAAATTCAAAATAAATTTAATATCAATAGTGAAAAATTAAAACAAAAAGACCAAATGCTATTTAGTTTTCAAACTAATCCTAAAGCTAATTCTCCTACTTCTTACACCCTCACCCACACTCAGAAAAACTGGAATAGGTGATTTCTAAGGTGTCTTCAAATTTAAAGCACAAGTTCCAAATTTAAGGTGAAAAAACTATCCTTACAATACATATTGTAACTTAACTTGGAATATCTCACTGTTACAAGAGGACCATAGTTTCAACATGAACAAAAAAATAAAATGATGAATATGAAAATAAAAATTCACATTAGCCCTTCAATTAAGAAGATGCATCCAAGAGAGAATACTGAACCATTTTTAAGACACTAGCAAGCTCTCATTAATATCTGATAAACACAGGATAAATCAACAGTCACATGGTTTAACAATAATAATGCTGTTATGGTTTAGATGTKAGGTGTCCCCCAAAAGCTCAAACGTGAGACAATGCAAGAAGGTTTATAGAAAAAAAAAATGAGCCTTAACCCAATCAGTGAATTAATCCCCTAATGGGATTAACTGAATGGTAACTGAAGGTGGGTTGGGTGTGTCTAGAGGAGGTAGGTCCCTGGGGGCGGGGGCATGACTTTGGGGTATATGTTTTTGTATCTGGTGAGTAGAGTGTTTTCTGATCATCATGTCAGCTGCTTCACTCCAACACACTCTTTTGCCATGTTGTTCTGCCTCAACTCAAGCCCCAAGGAATGGAGCCAGCTGTCTATGGACTGAGACCTCTGAAACTGAGCCCATAAATAAACTTTTCCTCCTCAAAACTGTTTTTGGCAGGTATTGTAGTCACAGCAGAAAAAAAAAAAAAAAAAAAAAAAAAAAAAAAAAAAAACCTGACTAAAACATGCTATTTAAAGAACTGGTACCTACTCCCTAAGTCCTCACTGTATAAAACAAGAGCTCCATCCCTGACAAACCAATCAACTTGTGCTCACAGAAATAATGAGTAAAAATCTAATTTGAGATGAGTCCACGTTATAATTCAGAAGGAGAACTGCAGGTTTTAAGTGGTGGGGAAAAACCAATACATTACCAGAATGATCTGACTACAAACCTAAATGCACAACTTATTAGCTCTGTAACCATGAACAAGTCTCCTGAACCTACCTGAACTTGTTGTCCTGTTTCAGCAAAAAGAGATTACCAACACCTGCTCGCTCTCTCTCTCTCTCTCTCACATGACATCAATAAGACTACATCAGCTAATGATATGAAGACACAGGATACATGTCTTTGTAAATTCTTATCCCAATACTATTCTAGAAATTGGTTTATGAAAAATGTCTAAGTTCTTGCCACTCTTCTATTCTTACAATACTAGTAACATCAGAATTCTATTCCTTTACTTAACATTTGCCACTGTGATTGAATAGCTATCTGTTTTTCTCTACCACAAAGACCAAACTGTGGGTTCCCAGAAAACAGGGCTCATGTCTTATACAAAACCTAGCCTGGCACATAGCAGATATGATGAACTAAACTCTTTAATACAGAGAGATATACTATGTACTTTAAGTGCATCTCAATGTTTCTTTAAAATTTGAGGGCAATTTTTAAAGCCTAGCAACATAACTAAAGAGCAACTTCAAGGTCAAGACTTTAAAACTCATGCCCACCAGTCATAAAAATTTCAGTCACTATTATGTCATAATAAAACACAAAGAAATCCCACCTCTTTATGATCTTCTACAACTGTTAAGATAGTATCAATAGTATGTAAAATTCCCATAGCCATTACTGTTTTGTCTTCAACTTCTTCATATTCATCACTTTGAAGAACTTTGCCAAATATCTCAGCCTAGGCAAAACATATTAAAATATTCAACAGTTGATACTGTTACAACCCCCCTCATTATAAAAATTAGCAAAAGGGTAATGTCACATATTAAAATATCAGCATCACTCAAACGTTAATTTCTGCACTTTGTGAATAAATCACCTTTTTTCTTACAAAAATATAATCTGTCATATTTTAAATATAGCCATTTCCCCCATATAGTTATCAGTGTGGAATATTCATTAGCCATTACAACCGTTAATTTTTTTTTTTTTTTTTTTGAGAGAGAGAGAGAGGAGAGAAAGAATTTTAATATTTATTATTTAGTTTTCGGCAGACACAACATCTTTGTTTCTATGTGGTGCTGAGGATCAAACCCAGGCAGCACGCATGCCAGGCGAGCGCGCAACCGCTTGAGCCACATCCCCACCCCACCCCCCCAACCCCCGTTAACTAATTTTATTGGTTGTCATTAAGCAAAATGATTTTAAAAAACAAAGAAATTTATCAAAGTGGTAAAACAAAAACGCCCCAATGTAAAGAAATTGAGATACCAGAATCAAAGTTAAGAAAGTAAAAATTTAGAACGTTCACATCAAGACACATTATGAAATCTTAGGATACTACAGATGAAGAGAGATTATCCTACATGTTATTAGCTTCAAGTCTGCTTAACTACAGGAATATCAGAATTATCAGAGCAAACATTTTTATATTAGTATTTCAGTTACAAATAAAACTGAACTTGAAATTACGGGGTTTAATTTAGATTACTCAAGGATTCCAAGCCAAGCTAACAAAAAACTGTCACGTCTTACCAAGTGTTGGGTCATATCAATAGCAATCGAGGCTACCTCTTGACTGTATTCACATATCATCTTCTGGATTACATTAGTAACATCATCATTTTCTGTCTCTCTAACAATGTGCAACAGCTCCTGCATAATAGGCCTCACATGTGGCTTCATATATTCCTTAGCTAATGCAACAAGACAAAATTAGTAAAAGTTAGCCATTCACAGATAGTAAAAGGAATTAACTTGGTAACAGGTCAAGTGACACAAGGTAATACCTAGATAAGGTTCTAGATACACTCATGCTCTACGGTGAATAAGTTACAGAGTTGCATCAAATAATGTTCACCACTATACCAACTTCAAGAATATAAAAGGGATAAGCAGTTCTACATAAGAAAGGACTGTCCTATTCCAAATGCTAATAGTTCCCACTGAAAAATTCTAACTACACATGTTGTCATCAGCATAACTTGGAGAACATAAATATTACATCAGTCTTGATGTCAAGTATAAAAACTCATGTACATAAAGATTATCCCAACACTGATGGGGCCCACTCCCTACCCTAATCCATTTCTACCCCTAGATCTCTGGAAAATCCTCATACAAAATCCAGTCCTCCCATTAAAACATGTTAAATAAAGGTAAACAAGGTTCATGTTTTTTCATAAAGCTGAATTTGTTTGTAAAGGTTTATTTGAACTTTGAACAGAACATTCTTCTAAACAAACAAATGAGATATTTGTTTTATCACTCCCTAGAAATATTACTTGCTAGAACTGGTAGAACCAAAGAATTCTAAAGTTGAAAAAAATCCTGAAGCCATCTAATCTAACCCCCTCAAGTTTAAATATGTGGAATCTAAGCCTTGACAGATCATATGTCTCACCCAGCTTTTCATGACAAGTTAGTAGCAAAATCAAAACTGAACCCAAGCCTCTCTTCCCAGTCTACCTTAGTGCCCAGCAATTATTAACTTGTTCCTCATGTAAAACTTTTCCAGAAACCACAATCAATAGGAACTCCTAAAAAAGGGACAAGAATAATCCCCTACAAAATTCTGAGGGAGCAAAAGCCCAGGAATCCAAACTCCTGGAACCTAAAGAACCCCCTTTATTAGGGAAGGAAGTGAATGAAAAATTACCCTTCTAAAAGGCATTTTGGTTTTACCTTGTATCTGATTAGAAATTAATGACTGAAGAGCAAGGGCAGCTTCAACTTTGACTGGCATCTCCTTATCTTCAATCAGGCTCTTCTTTGCTAATTCAACTGCATTTCTGAGGTTGAGTTCATTGTGAAACTTCAAAGAACTAAATGCATGAAGCACCCAGCATGACTATAGTATGAGCAGAAAGTAAACAGAAAGCTATTAGGATTATGGCACTGAGCAATAATGTCACATAAACAAGAACTTTTTTTTGTTTGTTTGTTTTTGGTGGTGGTGGTGCTAGGAATTGAATCCAAGGTCTCACACATGCTAGGCAGGCACTATAACTATAAGCTACACCTGCATCCCTCACACAAGAACTTCTTATTAAAATATCACATTTATTTCAATAATTTTCTTACAGACGAGGATTTTAAGGTATAAAATAGATACACAGAAAACTTACTCTAGCTCGAAGATATCCCAGGTTAGACAACAATAAAGGAAATACATGATTCTGTAGGAATAGCTCGATTTGGTCCTTGAATAAACTCTTCTGTTAGGAAACAGAAATTAAATTTCAATTTATCAGTGGCTTTTCTCATATGTAAGAATCACTTCCTGATGAAGCATGTTTATTATGACTTGCATTTATATACTTCTATTCACAATTTTGTAAAATTGTCTGACCTACATACTGTATATTTTAAAACACAATAATAGTACTTTAGGTCAATTAGATATTCATGGATTTTTGTAGAAATAATAACACTAAAATCATTTCGTATCCTTTTTTATAGAGCAGCTTCTTAAGGAAAAACTGACAAAAGTCAAATTTTCTCTTAATAAAGAAATAGGTTACAAAAAGAAGGATCTGTATCGTTGACTCAATCACCCAGAGTAAGTCATAATTTTTAAATTATCCATAACTTTCATACTATCTTATTAGTCTGTGCTTTGCAATTTTATTAAGTAAATTAAATTTTGATAATCTTAACCTTCAATAAAATCTCAGCTAGGGAACCAATCACATGCAGGGCTCCATCTTTCTTCCTAGGGTCAAAGTTCGGGTCTGTTAGGATTTGATAACAGAATGCCATCATTTTTGGCAACACCTAAAGAAATAGAAGAATCCATTTTAGTCTACAAGAACTTTCATTATCTTAATAAAGAATTAAATATGATATAAATTTTCAAAAATAAAAACCATTTTATTGTGTTTTATCAAATAACCTTAAGCTCAATAAGAAAGGTACATTAAAAAAAAAAAAAAAAAACTAACCAAAATACTTCACTCTTTTCCCCTACTAGAACAAAGAATATTCTTAAACTGACAAGTTACAACTAATGATAATATTATTTTTGAATACTAGGGGTATATTAGAATATACTTTTTCCTTACTAGAGCAAAAATATTCTTAAACTAGGTTATAACTAATACAAGATAATTTTCAAATACAATGGGTACATTAAAAAGAATAATTAAATACCTCTTTCCTTTTCTTTGCAGCAGTATATAAGAGAGTCTGGGCTGCTGTGGTAGGAGAAGCATAATCTTCAAAAATATCTAAGATTTCAAAAGGTCAAACCATATTAGTAAAAATGTAGTGACTTATGATACAGATTTTAAATCTGACCAACCAATAATTCAGACCAAAAAATAAAATAATCCACATAATGCCATTCACAGCATAAAGAAGCTAAGAAAAACAGGTGCAGTAGTACACGCCTATAATCCCAGCAACTGTAGAGACTGAGGCAAGAGGAACATGAGTTTGACATCAGCCTCAGCAACTTAGTGAGATCCTATCTCAACAAAAAGGGCTTAGGAGTGTAGCTCAGTGGTAAAACACCCTAGGGTTCAATCCCTGGTACCAAGTCGGGGGGGGGGGGGGGAGGAGAAAATTAGCTAATCATTTTGTCTTGTCAAAGCAAACTAGAAAAACAAATACATAAGGAAGGGGAAGTAATAAATTCTACACATGAGTTTCAAAAAAACAAAGAAACAAAGCAGGTGGTAAATGTTTCATTTGCTCTTCTTGAACTTTGTCTCCAAGAGAAAAAGTACCTCCTCACTTACAAAGCCCTGTAAAAACACCAGAGTCTGATAATCTAATGCTCATACCAGTAAGTTTAACTCAGATAGCTAGAGACACCTGGCTGAACAGATGACAACACAGCTTTGTCATGGTACATTTGGCATCTTTGTGTTAGTTCTAGTAGTTGATTTCGACATTTACTGAAGACATTAAGGCCACGCACTAGTAGAGGAATACAGAGGAGGAAAGGATAAAAAATATAAAATAAAACAAACAAGACAAAGCTCCTGACTTCAGATAGCTTCTAACTTGTGGGAGAGCCAGAAACACACAAATTAATATTTTACTATGTTAAGTGCTTAAAGGAGGATAAAGGGAAACAACTTAGGCAACCTACACAGTTCAACAGCTTCCAGGAAGATCAAATTGCAAAGAACCCCAGAGAATTGTGCACATGCAGTATGTCTAAAAGAAATCCTATTCCCTGTGGAATACTTAGTCATAGGGAAAGGAGACAGGTGAAATAGGGTGCCCCCAAAACATGCAGAAATCTAAAGGCTGTCTCAGAGTTGAGAACAACCCAATCCGTAGGTGAGAACAAAGAAAAAGATGGTCCCTGCAAATCCACGGGACACAGCCTAAGTAACAGATGGCTTCATGAGTATTTCAGCACTCCTAAGAGAGATACAGAGGATTTTCATCTCCCACACCCAAAGGCCTCAAATTCTCTTGTTCAAAAGGATACCAAACTCTGATGAGCTTCAGTTAAACAAACAAAGTGAAACTTTGGGAATTTAACAAAGTGATTAAAAAAAACTGCTTAAAATGTAAATATAGTTATATTATTTTACATATCCAGGAACTATTAAGGAAAAAATATCTCAAGTACCAAATTTCATCCTTATATACTCATATGGATCTTCTTGCCACAGCTCTTCATCCTCATCTTTATAGCACATCACAGAAAAAATCACATCTTCGGAGATATTCTAAGATGAGAAACAAACAAAATAACAAATGGGTATGGGCTATTCAAATTTGGGGAATACCAATAGTGTACTCATTGACAGTCTCTATGATCGTATTCTTCCAATTATAGTAATTCTTCTTTTAAGCCTGCATTCACTATGGTGAAAGCAAGTAAGCAAAAGTCCCCAAGCAGGCATAGGGGTTAGAATTACAGGTAAGATTGCTTTTGAACAGCGAGAAAAAGCACAGAGAAAGAAACAAATATAAACTACTCTTTGAAGCAACAACAAGGACAATGAAATTTTACTAACAAATTGACATTAAACAGACTTTGATTTCTTTAAGGAAGAAAAATGTCAAGTCAGGGATATATTTCTACTTCTTATGTTGAAATTCTTAACATTTCCACATTGGTCCTAAATGTCCACTGATCAACAATATTATAATTTTCTTTTTTTTCTTCGACTTTCAAAAGACTAATTTTCAACCTCCAAACTGCATGTTTAGGGCTGGGGATATAGCTCAGTTGGTAGAGTGCTTGCCTTGCATGCACAAGGCCCTGGGTTCAATCCCCAGTAACCCCCCCCCACAAAAAAATGGCATGTTTAGGGAGGTCCTAAACTAGTGGCCTCTCTTACACTGCTCTAACAACTACTTATACAAAACTGAATAATTCAAGAGTGGATCCTTCTCTAAAACAGACCATATCTTATGCCATAAAGCAACTGTTACCAAATACAAAGAATAAAGGTAATAACCTGCATCCTTTCAGATCATAATGGAAAAAATTAGAAATCAATGATAGAATGAAAAATAGAAGCTACTGTAATACCTGGAGAAAAATAATATGCTATTGAATGATGAATGGATAATAGCAGAAATCAGAGATGAAATTAAAAAATACTTAGAGGTAAATGAGAATAGTAATACAATGTATCAAAATCTCTGGGACACCATGAAGGCAGTACTAAGAGGAAAGTTCATTGCATTGAGCTCATTCATTAAAAGAATAATAAGTCAACATATAAATTACCTAACATTACAACTCAAAGCCACAGAAAAAGAACAATTCAACACCAAAAATAGAAGACAGGAAGTAACTAAAATCAGAGCAGAAAATAATGAAATTGAAAGGAAAGAAACAATTGAAAAAACTGACAAAACAAAGAGTTGGTTCTTTGAAAAAATAAGTAAAATTGATAAACTCCTAGCCATACTAACAAAGAGAAAAAGAGAGAAAACTCAAATTACTAAACATATGAGGAAAAAAGAAATATCACAACAAACACAACTAAAATACAGAAGATAATTAGAAACTATTTTGAAATTTATACTCCAATAAAATAGAAAACTTAGAAGACACCAACAAATTTCTAGAGACCTACCCAAACTGAATCAGTAGAACATACACAATTTAAATCAAGGATCAATTAAAAGTAATGAAATAGAAAATGCCAGGCTGGGGTTGTAGCTCAGTGGTAGAGCAATTGCCAAGCATGTGTGAGGCACTGGGTTCAATTCTCAGCACCACTTATAAATAAATAAATAAATAAATAATGAAGGTTCATCAACCAAAAAAAAGAAAAAAGATATAGAAAATGCCATCAAAAGCCTACCAATCAAGAAAAGCCCAGGACAAAACAGATCCTCAGCCAAGTTCTACAAGATACTATATATTTTTTTAAAAGCACTTCTCAGTTCTCAAAGGACGTCTATTTTATTTATTTATATATGGTGCTGAGGATCGAACCCAGTGCCTCACACATGCTAGGCAAGCACTCTGCCACTTAGCCACAATCCCAGCCCCAAGATACTATATTTTTAAAACTAGTAGTAACAGAATGCTAACCAAATCCTATGCTGGACACAAAGGAAAAGTGAAATAATTTATTTTCTTGTTACATACCAACTTACAGAACTTAAGAACTCATAGTTGGGAAGTGGTGATTCAGCTCCTAATGTTTTTGAATTAGCCAGGATTATTTATGTGTGAGTTATTTATTAATGGCCCATAATTTTTTATTCTCGTTTGTAGTTTAAGTAATAATGCTGAATTCTACCTTAAGTAAACAATTGGTATAAAAACAGAAAATGTTAACTTCTACTGAAGAACTTAATCTAAAGAAAATAAAAAGCTTTTCTGCTCAGACCTATAAAAGAAAAACGGTCCACATATCAGATTTTATTTTCTATAAAATAATACTGTCTTAGTAGAGCCCAACTGAGTTTTCAAAATACTTTCTCACAAAATGCCTCATTTGATCCTAGTAACCTTTAGATAAGAAATGTTATGAGCCTCAACAGAAGAGAAACTGAGATAAATGAGATTTTAAACAAAGTCAACTTTCAATCCAAGTCTTCCAACTCTCAAAATGAAAGGCCTCGCTCTTTTCAAATGACTAAATTTTTCAAGTCCATAACAGACGTAAGATTGTGCTTATTAGAAGTTATTAATGGAAATAAAGAGATACTAAATATAAATACAGGATTAATAACACTAATTTTACCTGGGAAACCTAAGTTAACTGGAGAACGATTCTGGAGAGCTGCTCTATGATACTTACCTGTATGTGTGGCTTCATCTGCTTCCAGGTTACAGAATGAACAACCCCTTGGTTGAGATAGTTGAATGCTTGCTGAAGAATACGAGGGGCTACATACTCTTTCTGTCTATATTGATCTAAAATTTTTAGTAGTACCTACAGGAAAATAGGAAGAGATAATATGGGAAAACAACTTTAAAATTAAAAGAGATGGGGCACTTTAGGCATAACAAAATCCAAAATACAGAGATTAAAAATAATAGATTTAGGAGGAAATCAATATTTTGTGAGAAAGCTCACATAGGCAGTTATAATTATTAGATACATCCGCGTTACACTGAATCAAAGGCTGACTTGCTGTGACTCCCAGGCATTTGTCCTACTTCTAACCTGCAGAAATACTCAGACCAAGTCTAATTTCTATTCCACTGTTGGCTCTTTGAAATAAATTAAGACTTCTATTTTAAGAAAAATGCCGCTCAGTGGTAGAGCACCCTAGCTTCAATCCCCACTACCACAAAAATAATGTAATGAATTAGTATGTCTATAATTCACTTTTGAGTAGATGGAAATAATTTTCTGTTTTAAAAGTGAAGGCTTATTACCTGCTGAATTCCCACTGCATAGGTTTTCAAGAAGAATTCAGAAAATTCAAAATATTCTTTTGTGACATTTCCTGGGCTTCCATACCTTAAAATTCAAAGAAAAATTTCAAATACTATGAAGTTTAAAAACAAAGCAAGCTCACTAGCTTAAATATAGTCATTGAAAGATGCATTCTATTGTAACAAAACTAACACATTCCTCTTTTTCAGAAGGCACAAAATGAAATCATAAAGAGCTGTGCTCAAACTCTGAGCCATACTTAAAATTTCACATGTAAGCTTTTACTTTCTAAATCAAGAATTCCTACAGAGCTAATGGTAAGACTAAAAAATGCTTATCTGATGTGTAATAATTTTCTTTCCATAAAATGTTTATCTGACATGTAATAAATTTCTCTCAATAAATGTTCTTTTTTAAATTTTTTTTAATTTGTTCTAATGATTTATACATTACAGTAGAATGCATTTTGACACACTGTACACAAATGAAGTACAACTTTTCATTTGTCTGGCTGTACGTGGTGCAGAGTCACTCCAGTAGTGTAATCATACATGTATGTAGGGTAATAATGTCCATCTCATTACACCATCCTTCCCATCCCCACAGCCCTTTCCCTCCCCTCACTGCCCTCTGCACAATCCAAAGTTCCTTCATTCTTCCCTATCTCCCCAATAAATGTTCTTACAATTAAATTTTACTTTCTAATGGAGCTTGATAGCCATGCACCTTCTTACATAATTCCTGGATATTTCTAATGGACTAAATAATGTTATTTTTCCATGTTTTTTCACAGAATAAAAGAAAAGAGCCAGAGAAGGCTCCCTACCTCATTATGATCTCAAAGCCAATGATCGCAATTAAGCCACTTTAAACCAAGGGTGACTTTTTGCCCTCTGTGGTTTTGAAGACATACAATTATAAACTGCAGAGCAAGAAGGGAAGTATCCACTTTTATTATACTGACTGTACAAGCTAAATGTAATAAACAGAGAATTACCGTTCAAAGAGACGAGCTACAATATGCAGAGCCCACTTTTTACACTTCCACCATACTAGTTCTGGTCTATCATCTTCATCAATTTGCAGAGTCTCCTAAGAGGGCAAAAATCACCCAGATTAAATGTCTGCATAATAGAAGGATTTATGTGACTAACAAAAACAGAATAAGTCTTGGTATAGATTAAATCATATTAAATGTGTAGTTAGATTGCTCTACAAGCATTCTTTATAGATTGCTAGGTGGAAATTAAATAAGCAAATTTCATAGTCAATGCCATTGTTCACATTATCTACTATCTTCAATAGGGCCAAATAAGTAGACAACAAAATATAAACATCATGATCCCTTGATAAAACTCTTGAGATAGCAAAAAGCCTCTATACTTTAATCTGAGTGATGCTCACAAAATTTTACATACTAAATTTTGAGCATCTATATATGTACATTAAACCTTTATATACTGTTTCAAATTAAAGAGAATAAAACTAGGGATATAGCTTAGTGGTAGAAAGTATACTTAGCATGTGTAAGACCTACATTTATTCCTAGCACACACATACACAAAGATAAGAACAATGGAAAGAATATTGTACACTTTAAGACCAGCTTAAATGTAAAAATACAAAAATTTAAGCCAAATGTAGTAATCCCAGCAACTCAGGAAGCTAAGGCAGAAGTATCACAAGTTTGAGGCCAGCCTAGGCAACTTAGTGAGACCTCGTTTCAAAATTTAAAAAGGGCTGGGGATGTGTCTCACTGTAAAGGACCCCTGGGTTCAACCCTAAGAACAGCAAAGAAAAAATATATTGGGAAGTGAGGGATTAATTTGACAGATGCAGAAATACTCTCACTGCAGATCAAAAGAAGAGACATATGAAATAGGCAAACTTAGAATTCAGTGTATACTCATAATAGGCATCTTCAGCCACTGTTTATTAAAGTATAAATCAGGGTGCCCTTTCTGGAAATCATTCCATAAGATGTATCAAAAGCCTAGACACTTTTAGAAATTTTTCTAGAGAAAATAATTGTGCACGTGCACAAAAATTTAACTGTGTTCTCATATTTAAAACACTAAAAGCATCTGACAAAAATAAAGTATAAAACATTCATAATCAATATATATATAAATATATATATATATATATATTAAATTTTAGGCCAAAATGAACTTCAAAATAGTATATACAAGTACTATTTTTTATTCATAAACTATTGTATGTAGATGCAGAGAAAAAAGGCTAGAGGAATACCAAGTTTTAAAAATGGTTTTTACGATATTTAGTAGAATTAGCTATTTCATTATTTTTGCTTCTGAGCTTTCTAAAAGTGATTATGAATTATTTTATTAATTATTATTATTACAGTAGCAATTTTCTTTTTTCAAATAGCAGGATAGGATAATGAATTAGCCCAACACAAGCACTCCAAACCCAAGACTGCCCATTTTTTTCTCAGAACACCCCTATCTTACAGGAGGGACTGTCCTGTCAATAATAGTTCGGAAGATCTCCATCCATGTTGTCATGGTTTGGTTATTCACCAACTGAAGAGGCAATGCATACTGGAAAAACAGAACAACAACATAAAGAAGAATTCCCATTTACCATAAAAATCAGCAATTTTATCTACTGTAAAAGGTTAAAATATGTAAAATAGCTAATTTTTAAGCATTAAAATAGCAATTTCATATGATTCAACCTAAAATTAACTTGAATTAGATGTGTAAGTATATGTCTAGGCTAGGGATATAGCTCAGTTGGTAGAGTGCTTGACTGGCATGCACAAGGCCCTGGGTTCAATACCCAGCACCAGCAAAAAGAAAAAGTAAACTTTTAAATTATGTACAATTTTGAAAAAAAATTTAATTAAGCTCTTATTTATTCAGCAACACTATATCATTTCAAATGGACAAACATAGTCTATAGATGGTAAAAGTAAATAAAACAGGACCTACATAACTGTGAGAAGCTTACCTATGGACCTATACTTTAACTAGAATTGATATTCCAAGTAAGTGATTTTTACTATTTATCCCTTTGCATGTCAAACTTTTAATTTCAACCACTTTTAATGATAATCTTTACCTTACTGAACACTCATGAAACTATTTTTCAGTTACTCTCATCTACACTGTGACATAATAACCACAGTCCACTTTGAAGCAGGCACTTGTCTTCCTGCTACATTGTGAGCTATAGAAGAGGAGGGACAGTGCCTCTATGTTTATTCCAAAATGTGCTAAGGACATAGTAAGAAAGATAGTCATTGCCCTCACAAGCTTACAGTCTAATTGGAAAACACACACACACACACACACAAAAAAAAAAAAAAAAAAAAAAAAAAGTGGTAAAGATAAAGGTGGAGGGATGAAGAGTTTTATAGGCTACATTCAGTTCACACTTTATTCAAAATGCCCTGGGGATGCATTCAGACTTGAATTAGGGTGCAGAGGAGGACAAGGCTGAGAGTTAAGCAAAGAATGGTGATTTCTCTGGAATGTACGAAATATCCAAGTACCCATACAAATAAATGCTACTCAGACAAAATCAATCTCATTGTACAGACTTTTAAAAAATATTCCTCTGCCTCTTCCATATTGTCAGTCACTTTTTAGTTACATTATTATTGCAACTGTGTCCCTCAATGCTTTGAAATTTTTTGCTTTCAAAGGAACATATTATATTAGTACATTAACAGATTACCAAAATGGTTAAAAGTGTTGAGGGTATTTACCTATTTTTTAGGTTTTTAGCATGTATAGATTGAGAGAAAAAAAATTTAGATTTTGCCCCATTGGGCAAATAACAACAGGCCTTAGAAAAAATGATTTGGTCAGTCTTTATCTTACTGCTCAATTCCTAGCTATGTTTCTCCCAATAAGAAAGTCAAGTCTGGTCCTAAACAAAAGGGTTATTACCAAATCTAATGGCAAAACGTCTCACTGAACAAAAAATTTGCCTCAAAGTAAAGTGATCCTCCTGAGGAAGATTTCTAAACAGTGCTTCAATAAGTAGAGGCATCATGCATCTTCCTTCCCTATTCTATTAAAAAAAAAAAAAAAAGGTAGAGGAATATACTTTTCTAATATTCTAGTTCTTCTCTCTTCTCAGATTTGCCTCCTTTTCTTTCCTCTCTCAATCCTTCAAAAGGCTGATCTAAAAAACAAAAGTCTGGCTCAGACTGTCTTTAGTAAAAGTTTAAAAGATGTAAGGCTGAGGGTATAGCTAAGTGGTAGAGTGCTTGCCTGGCATACCCAAGGTCCTGGGTTCAATTGCCAGTAATACCCCCTACACAGACAGTTTTAAAGATGAGACTTCAATATAACTATAAATCTATATTGAAATGAAATGTTCTGAAACAGTGCCAAGAACAAACTGTCCTGCCTCTCAAGTTCAACGAAACTATCCTAGTATCATGAGGAATTTAACTAAAAACATGTATTAGAGCTTCAATTCACTAATCATTGCATTATTTAGGGTGACAACAAGGATTCTTCCCCCAACCAGACCTCATTTACTCAAGCCTTTCAAAGATTTATTGTTAAATACTTTTATATTTTATACACATTACATGTCTGTCTTATAATTTTTTTTCACTCCCACATTAGTAGCCCTTATAGCTTTCAGATATGAAAAAAGAACATTTTGAATCAAGAAAAATGAGCCACCAAATCTTGGTTAGCTTTAGGTTGGTGGAAGACAGAGAAATTATCATAAATATGATTTTCCAATAAAAGAAGGACTCTATTCTTATTTTCCTTACTCTTTTCTTATAATCATAACTATGCTTTGGACAGAAATGTCTACTAAAAGTTTCGGGGAAAGTAATGTGTTGGTTCTTACTGACCTGGAGCTTCAGATACTGGAATGGAAGCACAGACACTGAATCTCACCTCTGTTAACTTCTGTGATCCTGTTTCTCATATTTCTTTTTAAAATATATATGAAAATATATAATAATTTTTAATAATAACTGACTCTGAACATTTTCCACATGTGAGGAAGAAATACAAGACCTCATTTTTGGGTTCTGCAGTAGAAACTTACCTGAACAAGAGCATAAAAGATTTTGAGAATCTGTTTCTGTAGTAATACAGAATAATGGGAGGAATCAGGAAGGAGCTGCATGATTTGCTGCTGAATACGTGGCAAAAATATCTGCATCGCTGCTATAAGAGGTTCTCTTTCTTCTGCTTTCTTATATCTACATGAGCAAAGACAAAAAGAATGAAAAATAATGTCCCCTCTTCCCCAAAGAACTATAAACAATGAATGAAAAATATTTGTTAACATAAAACAAACCCCTGCCCAAAAAAATTTTTTGGCTTACACTTTCTGTTCAGATTGTTGGAATAAACTTTGGGAGTATGTCCCTGTTCTAAGCAAAATACCTAAAATCTTTCTAAAAAAAATTTAGGCTAATTTTTAATAAAAGCATCCAAGACTAATGCAGCTTTCTTAAATTTTTCTAGTATCTATAGTCATTTTTATTAAATCACAATTCTATAAAATACAAGTTGAAAAGCTAGTTTATATAGGCACTCATAATGTGGGGAAATTTTTTCTTATTATCCTAAATTGAGAAGTAAAAATAACTTACAAATTTAGCTGCTCTTAGATCACTTTAATTGCTAAAAATCTAAAATATTCTATAAAAATTGTACAAATAAGAGTCTGCACTAATTTCATGAGTCAGCCATGGGCTGTGTGTGTGAGCTATGAGCATTTGAGCGCTGGAGGGGACTGGACTGATGCTGCTGTTCTGAATGGGTTGTGTGACATATGTGTCCTTTTCACTTGCTTCGCCTTTGATCCCACACAGCACCTGACGTGTGTGGCCTTCCAAGATGTCAATCTGCTGACCATAAAACATCACTAAGCAACCTCCTGAAACCCAATCCCATACCTTATTTGGGTTGAACTTTCTTGACTGTCTTCCCCTCAATAAACAGGATGGTCTCAGGAGTACTCTCTTTCTTTTGTCTGCCTCTATTGCTTCCTCTGTGGGAGCTGGGGCCAAGAAGCAATCAGAAAAACATACTTTCTGTGTCTGTGGGATTATTCAGTGCCAAACCAATTTACCTGGAGTGACCCTGACTGATTTAGTTGTGTGTTGAGGCACATTAAATATTTTAAAAGAAGGGAAATAAGATTTTGAATGCAAAAGCAGAAATCCTCTTTTAAACCAGAAAATACTATTAAATGTGATTCTAGTCCTCTACCTCTCAAACAACTTTTATGGGAGAAGAATATCCCCAGCAAAGAAACTTTAACATTTTCATTCTTACATCCAGAAAGGTATCTGATTTGACTTATTTCATAATATGCTCCTGAGAAGACAAATGTTAAGGTAAAACATTTAGAGTCTCCAAGTAAAACTGTTAATAAATGTTTGAGAAACACTGCATATTATATCTGCATTAGAAATTAGCAATATACATTAAAAGACTAAAGTGGCTTTGAATAACTGTAGTAAATTAACATGCTTAACTATATTTAACCCAACATTTTCCAAATTAACCTGGTTTTACAGAACACCCACAGCAGACCTCTCTACCCAAATTAATCCCAAAGTGACACAAGACTATTCTCTTTAGCCAAGAGAAATCAACTTACTCATAAGTCTTCACCAGTTGGTAAAGACATAACAAACTGCCAAGCCAGCTTCCACTGTTCTGCGATTGTAAGTAAAAGTTTATCTTGTCCACTACGGCTGGCCAGTGACCAGGAAAATCATGCTTAATGATGACACGGAGACACATTGTTAACTGGATTCTGTAAGGTGAGAGGGAAAAAGGTAAAAAATACAAGTAGTTAGAAGTATAATGTATCAAGGACCTCTAATATTTTACATAAAAGTTCTCCAGTTCCTATTTGCCCATTATGTAGTCACAGTCACACATAACTTACCACCATGGATAACGTTATGAAAAATGCATAAATTAGCAAATTCACAGCTTTGGGAATAACACAGAGTGAACTTTTTATAAACTTAAGATGGCTATATCACTAGATAATGTAATTTTATGGGACCTATCATCATATATACGGTTGACCAAAATGCTGTAATGTGGCATGAGGCTGCATTATATGTGGAGTAGGAAGGAAAACAGTAGTCCTTAAAAAAAAAAAAAAAAAAAAAAAAAAAAATTCCTGGGGCTGGGGTTGTGGCTCAGTGGTAGAGTGCTCACCTAGCATGCACAAGGCACTGGGTTCGATCCTCAGCACCACATAAATGTAAAATAAAGATACTGTGTCCACCTAAAACAAACAAAAATAATAATAAATAAAAGATACTCTATGTGCTGGCAGAGAATCAATAAAATAGGTTTTTTTTTTAAAAAAAATTCCTCAGTAGCTCAATTTACTAAAAAATAAACAGAACGAAAATGAATAAAGCTTTTCAAAGTGTCTTATTTTAAAGACAGCTTTTTAAAATATGAACTTAAAAATAAATTTGTAAGGCCAAGCATAATAGTACATGCCTGTAATCCCAGCAACTCAGGAGGCTAAGGTAGGGGAATTACAAGTTCGAGATCAGCCTCAGCAATTTATTGAGAACCTGCCTCAAAATAAAAAATAAAAAAGGGCTGGGTATGTAGCTCAATAGTAAAGTATCCCTGGGTTAAATCCCAGTACCAAAAAAAAAAAAAGAACTCATAAAAATTTCAAAACAATGAATCTACCTCAGCTTTGTAAGATTTCTCAGCATGCTGTATTTTATATTTTGGTTACCAAATCCTAAAAGGAATGAGAAGAGAAAATAGTTCATCATTTCAACTAGACAGACTTAGTTTGCAGATGGTAAAAGTAAGTTAAATGGAGGTTTACAAAACTATGGGAAGCATCTCAATGAACCAAAACATTGAACACTCATCCCTCATCAGTTAACAACCAGCAGTGAGTGCTGCACTTGTCAAAGCAGCTGAGATACTAATTTTTGTACTCTGAGTATAAGAAAAAAACATGCGGGCACCGGACCCCTGGTGAGCTCCGGGTGAGGGCGGCAGTGCTCTGAGGGCCCTAGGAGGAGGCCCGGCTTCCAGCGAGCGAGGCAGTTGTTCAGCATTGAGGCTGGGAGGCCTGTCCGGGTGAAGAGTAGCAGCGAGGAGGACCCTTCCCCTTCTGAGGGGGACTTAGCTGCATCCCGCGCCACCCTTGATCCTTACATGGGTGGCCCTGGAAGGATACGGGGTAGACTTCTGGGATGCTGAGGACCTGAGCCGAATCTTAGAGTATTTCTCCAGCCCTTTTGGGCAGCATCTCGCTGCAGGGATTTCCCGCCCATCCTGGTCGTGGGGCTGACTGGCACAGACTTCTCTGGACTCCTCTAAAAGTTCTCCACATACGATTCTACCTGCCAAATTGCCCAAGAAATTGCTGAGAAAATTCAACAACGAAATCAGTATGAAAGAAGAGGTGAAAAGACATCCAAGCTTACGGTGACAATCAGAACTTTGTTGCAGAATCTGAAGGAAAAGATCGCCCTTTGAAGGACTTATTGCTCAGAGCTGTGTCAACACATCAG